GTGGTTCATCGTTAATTATGCCTCCCAGAAAAGGAGGAACTAATTTATCCAAACAAGGACAAATTTATGTTAACGGTGAAAATGTAAATCAAGGTCAGACAGCAGTAGCTGATGTTGGAGGAACAATGACGATGAGTCATATTCCGAGAACAAAGGCCTATGCTACAACAAAGACTTCTTCAGGAACAAAGGCTGGCCCGATAAAGCAATCAAATTTTAGCATTGCTCCTCTAATTCTAGAGGGTGTTAAGCTACATAAATTACAATTAAATGATGTTATCAAACAGCATTTAAAGGACTTACGAATATCTGATATTCAGCTAAGTCGATCAGGTCACTTTACAATATATGCAGCTGATGTTAGCTCGTTTAATCGTCTATTAAATGAGTTAACACCAATACTTGCAACAAATGGACAGGCTACAGCTAAAATATATGTGCCCCGATCCATTCAACGTATTAAAGATACGGAAAAGGTCGCATTTGTTAAAAATGTCGACATAGAAATTCCTGATGGTCGAATAACTGAAGCATTGAAGGACGTTGGACTTGATGCTATTGATGTTGTTCGACTAGTGAATAAAACTAAAAATGTTCCTACTAGAACGATCAAGATTACATTTAGTGATCCACATAATCGAAATACATTCGTCCATACTGGTTTACAAGTGGACTCAATGCATTTCATAGCTGAAGCAGCAAACCAAAACACTAAACCTGTACAATGCTTTATATGTCTGCAATACAATCATGTGGCAAAATACTGCAAAACGAAACAGCAGATATGTGCTAGATGTGGTGAAACTCATCGCATTGAACAATGTACTGCTGCTAGTGATTTAATAAAATGCTGCAATTGTAAAGGAAGTCATATAGCAACATCAAATGAATGTGCAACTTATAAGGAACAGGAGAAACGAATTAAAAATTTAGTTAATCAATATTCATCTCCGAATACACCAACGACATCAGCTCCAGCCATTCATGACTTAAACGAATTTCCATTGCTACCAAACCTCTTACAACGTCAACAAGAACACATTCATAATGAATTATTCGATGAAATTATTAATGTATTAAGCAGCAAAATGGAAAAGATTATCGAAGAAACAACCAGCCGACTATTCCAGAAGCTACTTAACAAAATCAAGAAGATCGAAACATTCATCGAAACACAAGATAACAACGTTAAAGATGCCTTGACTATATCGGATTCTGATTCAGAAGAAGAAAGTCAAGTAGTTAAACACATTAGAAACAAGCAAAAACCAAGTGCAGCAATAACCAAATTAACCACCTCAGCAACTGACACATCAAAAAAACCAACAACAACCTCAAATGTAACTTCATCAAAACCACCACGAAAAGTTAAAGAAGTTTCGAAAGCAGCCAAAAGAGTTCGATCACCCAACAGCTCCTTAGATACATCGACATTTGACAGCAAAGATCTCAAAACAAGCAACAACGATGATTAGTGTTTGTCATATTAACATTACCACTATCAGAAAACACAAAGACGAACTTCTTGCCAGATTCTCCAAATACGACGTCATATCTGTAAATGAAACTAATCTGAAAAGAGACCAACCGTTCTCTCTGAAAGGTTACAACATTTTCAGAAACGACCGAGTAGGAAAACCTGGTGGAGGAGTATTACTAGCTGTCAAACAACATATCAAATGTAATGAAATTCTAAGCAAAACGGTTGGAAAAAATGAAATTATAGCTGTGGAAATTACTACACGTTCATTAAAGAGCGTATTAATCTCTTCGATCTACGTACCACCAACAGCAAAAATCCAGATCAACATCTTTAATGAACTGTACAATTTAAACAACAACTGCATCGTAGTAGGTGACCTTAACGCAACATTATACAATATGGGATCAAGAAAAACAAATGCAAGAGGAAGACAGTTACAAGAGGTAATAAATGAAGGTTATTTTAACTGTATTGAGGATGTTAGTACCACATTTGAAAAGAATGATTATGAAGTAAAGATTGACTGGATATTAGCCAGTCAACCTCTTCATTCATTAATATCAAACGTCGAAACCCACCCAACAATCGGTACATTAAGTGGTCACAAACCATTAACCTTTGTTATACCAATTGGATCTGAACCCAAACCTGCATCTCCAAGATTATCCCTTAACTTCAAAGCAGCAAATTGGCCAAAATTTAGAAATAAATTAAATGAACAACTAATGTTATTAAAATGTTAATTGACTATGTTTTTCTTATAGAATTTTTTTTGCCTGAGAAAAAGAAAAATTTCATTGCCTTTGTCGAATTCTTAGAAGATGAATTTTCATGTTTACTAAGGGATAATCAATTAATTAGATATCCCATTATTCAGTCTTATATATTTCATGTAGTAGAATATCCATTTACAAGTACATATTGGTGACTAAAAAATTCTTGAGAATTTTTCGCATAATTGTCATAGATACACACAGAAAAACGGTATATGATTTCGTACACCCTGAACGTTCGTTATCAAAGCAGGAATTCATCTGAATGATTGCAATGCAAGTCTCTTGCAAATAGTATCTTCTTCAATTTAACATCTCTTTATTAATTTGTAGTCCTCTTCTACTTTGTCTCAAAAGAAAATTGTCATTCAATTGAGATAAACATTACTCTCGATCCTATACTTATTATTCTATTAATATTTAACATATCAGTTAACTGCAAATAACAATCAGATGAATGCTGATTTTTATTTATTATTATATACGATACATATAATAAAAACAAGATCAGTTTAATGCTTTTGTTAACGTTATTATTTTATATTAGAATTTTCAGGTGATTGATAAAGACTAGACTAAACAAATATCTTTCTTCTAAATACTTTGATAAACTATTGTCTTGTGCTATGCTACAGAAAGAAAAAATCAATTTTTCTTATTGTATTGAAATAATTCTATCTTTTTTATCTTTTTTTTTTATTGATCGTGGAATTTGTGATGAAAGTGATATGATTCACGCAGTTTTCCTTTTCTAATCACGAATAAATTTCATATTTTGATAGCTAGTGTAAGTTCTTTTTAATTAAGAAGATCTAAAAATCAACATGAATATTAAATAACTGAATTCAAAATCAAAAAATTAAACAAAAATGAAAATAAAATCATCTATAGATCAATGTTTTATTTTATCACTTTGATACTAGAGATTATAGAAACAAATCTAGATGATCAAATTAATAACTCATTCGAAATGGAAGATGCACTAGATAAATAAAATTTGTTTGTAAATGATTTTTTTTTTCTTTCTCAAGTACATGAAAATAGACAGTTTTGAGCCATGGC